GTCAGTATTTGCTGGCCGTGATCTTCCGGCCCTCAGATGGCACTGCATTAAAAACAGACATGATTCTGTAGTGGAAATCATTGCATGGGCTCAGGAACACTTCTGAAAACAGTTTGTCACTGCATCCACAGATGCAAGTCAAATCTCTAAAATGCAAAGAAGAAACCACATATAAACAGGGTCCAGAAATGCTGCCACCTTCTCTGGGCCCGAGCTCATTTAAAATGGACTGAGGAGAAGTGGAGAAGTGCTCTGTGGTCCGTCGAATCAACATTTGAATTGCTTTTTAGAAATCACGGACGCTGTGTCTTCCGGTCTAAAGGCCACTCAGCTTGTTATCAGTGCACAGTTCAAAAGCTAGTATTCATGATGGTATAGGGGTGCATTAGTGCACATGGCATGGGTGATGTGCACATCTGTGAATGCTGAATGATATACATGTTTTGGCAACATGTTGATTGATTATTTCGGCAAGACAATAACAAACCACATTCTGCATGTATTACAACAGCATGGCTCTGTAGTAATAGAGTCCAGGTGCTAAACTGGCCTGCCTGCAGTCCAGACCTGTCACTACTGAAAACATTTGGGGCATTATGAAATGAAAAATATGACAAAAGAGACCCCGAACTGTTGAGCAGCTGAAATCCTATATAAAGCAAGAATGGGTAAACATTTCACTTTCAAAACTACAGCAGTGTTTCCTCCGTTCCCAAACAGTTACAGAGTGTTGTTAAAAGAAGAGGTGATGAAACACAGTGGTAAACAGGCCCCTGTCCTGACTTTTTTGGAACATGTTATTGGCATCAAATTCAAAATGGGCATATATTTTTCAAAAAACAATAAAATTTCTTTCTTAAGTTTCAACATTTGATATGTTGTCTTTGTACTATTTTCCTTTAAAAATATGGTTTGCATGATTTGCACATCATGGCATTCTATTTTTATTTACATTCTGCACAAGGTCCCAACTCTTTTTGGAAATGGGGTTATAAATGAACTTCTTTTATTTGATTTTATTTTTAAAATAAGCTACATTTTTATTATTATTTTTATACAGTGAACTACAAAAATGCAAACCTTCAAGTAAATGTCCTCACTCTGATACTAAATTCTTCCAAGCACCTCACTGGAAACACAAATACACTTACATGACCAGGGACCCTCAGTACACTACTGGTCACTGTATATTCCATCCGGACTGGTGGGCAGTGTGCTGTTGGAGCAGCTGATCTACTTCATAGTCATGGTTAGATGCTGATGTGCTCACTGGTAGTGCAGACGTACCTGCAGAAGTGAGAGTTTGAGATAAAGACATCAGCAGAGACATTGATCTGGTGTTTTGTGGAACTATTCAAATTTGTTTCCTTGTTTGTTTCCTCTGTATGAATTTACATATGCAAAATTGATGTTGGTATGTTGGAAACAAGGCTAATCAGAGAAAGAAAGTAAATGGCAATTTTAAGTTTCTTATTACTAAGACAGTGTTTAGCAACACTCCCTTTGCCAGATATCACAGCCCAAAAACTCTTTTTTGATTTATGTTTGCATATGTGGATTATTCTAAAACCTTCAGCTTGCATTCCTTGAAGTAGTTCATGGTGGATATTCAGGCGTGTTTTGGTCATTGTTCTGTTGTATGTCCCCAAACCAGAAAAAGTTGGGGCGGTGTGAAAAATGCAGATAAAAAAAAAAGAATGCAGTGTTTTCCAAAATTTATTTGGACTTGTATTTCATTGCTGACATCATGAACACAAGATATTTCATGTTTTGTCTGGTTAACACTTCATTTGTAAATATACATTTGTTCCTGCCATTCAGGCCTACAACACATTCCAAAAAAGTTGGGTCTGGGCAATTAAGAGCTAGTAATGAGGTAAAACAATTAAATAATGATGTGATTTTAAACTTGTGATGCCAACAGGTGATTATAGTCATGATTTGGTACAAAAGCAGCATCCAGGAAAGGTCTAGTCCTTTTGGAGCAAAGATGGGCTAAGGATCGCCAGTTTGCCTTCAAATGTGTGAGAAAACTATCGAAATGTTTAAAAACAATGTCCTTCAAGGAAAGATAGGGAGAGATTTGGATATTTCACCCTCTATGGTGCATAACATGATTAAAAGATTCAAGGAATTTGAATATGTAAAGGGTAAGTGCACAAGCCTAAGCAGAATAACTGAGCTCTCCGATCCCTCAGACGGCACTGCATCAAGACCTGTTATTCATCTATAAGTGATGTAACCACTTGTCAAGTACTACAATGCATAGTTACATCCACAAGTGCCTATTAAACTTTGCCAAAAGGAAGCCTTATGTTAACCATGTCCAGAAGCACCGTCAACTTCTCTGGGCTCAGAGGCATCCAAGATGGACCATCACATGGTGGAAACGTGTATTGTGGTCAGACAAGCAAGTCAGTATTTTCAGGTCTTACTTTTATTATTGTGGCCCAAAAGGTCCATTTCTACTTTGTCTCTCTGTATCTAAAATGCATCTTGTTATTGAGATGTTGTTTTTCATACTTTAGTTGTGGACTTTTGTGATGAGGTTGCAGGTACAGTTCCTATGTCAGCTTCCTGCAGGTCCCTTGTTGCCATATAGGGGTTTTGCTTTGCCTTTCAGGCCAGCATACAAACAGTCCTATCTGAGAGTTTTCTTGGTCTTCCAGATCTTACTTTGATTTCCATAGTTTGCCTTAATTGCCATTTCTAAATGACACTTACAGTGGAAACTGCAAGCCAGAAGTTATTATGCCCTGAATAAATTCTAAATTTTAAATCCTAAAATCAGCTGACAATTTCTAACGATGATTCTTGACCTGCCAACCCAGTGCTAATTAGTCAATTAAGGCATTACGAGTTAAGCTATGAGAGTATACAAATGGAAGGGTGCCAAAACCTTAGCACATGCCACAATTATTGTTTTATTTTTTTTTCTATTTTCTATTCTATTTTTCTATTTTCTATTTTCTAAGTTCATCAAATATAAAGTGCATTCACATACAACTGTAACACTGTTGGTAAAAACAATATGAGTTAGTTGATCGGACAAAGAATATTTAAATAAGGAAAGAGCAATCTGGCTCATTTGAGATTATACCAATACCTCACCATCATGCTCAAACATTAGATTGAACATTAAATCATTGAAAATGGAACCTAGGAAGCATGAAGACCAAGATGGTGCCATGGATGGGCAGCTTTGATGAAGTACTTGTATGTGTTGTGTTTATTTTTGTTTATTAATGTTGTCCGTTGTACATCAAACTCTAGGGACAACATTTCACCGGAAATTATCCTGGAGTTTATACAAGCAATGCTACAAGCATAAACCTATAAAGAAAGCACAGTGCTTCAAAGGACAAATGAACATAGCTTCGTAATCACTGCTTGAAAAAGCCCAGTTGCAGAAATAATAATTTAGACTAGAGCTGACATCAAAATCCAACATAATGCTGAACTAATCCTGCTAGTTTGCTAACATCTGAGAATTCAAAATAAATTAAGTAAATTAAAAGTTTTACACTAAACATTGCTGAGTAATGGCATTGCTTTAAGGTTTTATGCCTGTATCTAACCAAGCAAACAACATTAAAACAATGAAATAATTTATTAGCATAAGTAATTAGTGTAGGCCCTAAATAGAAGCCCCTCTCATGCAGGTTCAGGTTTCTGTTGACAGATCAATAAAAAACATCAGCACAAAAGCATTCAAACAGTAATAAATATTTACATTTTTATTTATCCTCACAGTTCTATCATGTTAGGACGTCATTAGCAATTAACATATTTAACAAATATAGTCTATTTACACTTTACAGGAAGTTTTGTCCATTAGCCACTCAAAGCATCACAGGGAGTAGGACTAAGGTGGATAGGTAGAAGTTGGAAACTACTGAAAACCCAGGCCCTCTACCTAACACACACACACACACACACACACACACACACACACACATTTTCTAAGCCGCTTATTCTTATGGATCATGGGGGGAGCTGGAGCCGATCCCAGCAGTCATTGAGTGGAAGGCAGGAAACACCCTGGACAGGTCTCCAGTCCATCAGAGGTCAGACAGACAGACACAAACATTCACACACACACACACACACACACACACACACTCACACACCTAGGGGCAATCTAGCATGTCCAATCTGCCTGACTGCATGTCTTTGGACTGTGAGAGGAAACCGGAACACCCGGAGGAAACTCACGCAGATGCTGGGAGAGCATACAAACTCCACACAGAAAGGACCCAGGTCGCCCAGCAGGGAATCGAACCCTTCTTGCTGTGAGGCAACAGCGCTACCCACTGCACCACCGTGCCGTCCCTCTACCTAACATCACTAATCAATTTAAATTAGCAATCTTAAATTATGAAGACTGTTAACTAGTGTGCTGTGTGCAAATTGTGCCTTTGAGTACATTCAACAACAATCAGTTGATAAAACATTAAGCTAAACAATTTGCAATGCAGTCCTATGTAGAAAAACCTATTTAGACAGAACAGGACTGTTTGAACAAATATTTGATTTAGCCTCCTCAGACAGTGATGAATGTATCTGGCTTGGAAACTCAGCTAGATATTCCACAGAATGTTTCAAAATAAAACAGAAGCTAGTTATCAGGATAAATACTTGCAAATAATCCAGGGCAGATAATTGAGGTATAGTTTAAATAAGTTTAACTAAGCTATAAACCACATTAAAACATCAAGAAACAGCAGACAGGAACCCATAACTTACATGATTGTGAAATTCGGTACAATGATATGAGTAAAGAGACCAAATTTGGCAAGATTAAAGGCCGAGGCCAAGACAAGTCCAAGGACAAATACTACTGACAAGCCCAAGACAATAAAAAAAACACGCCTCGGCACTGAATTCAAGTACAACAGCACTTTTAAAAACCCATATTGGTTTAAGATGTTTTACAAGTTGGTTTATGGTTTTAGGTCACTTCTTCCACAGAGTGTGAGTAGTCAGAAATTGAGACCAGAATGAACTGAATGAGCAATTAAAACCAAATGTAACGTAAATGTTAAGCTGAAACACATGATTTATCCTGGAAAATGTACTCTTCATGCATTCTGCTTTGTAATGCTGAACCTAAGTATTCTCCGTCACAGGACTGCTAGGGTGCTGCCCTCTAAGAGAGAACGTGTACAGACAAGGGTTCACACACCTGTTCAGAAATGTCAGAGCTCTGGCCACTTTACCAAAAAGTTCTACAGATTCCAACAGATTTTCATTCTTCAGAAACACTGCAATGATAATTGAGATGTTGGCGATGGGAACCAGGATATAGAAGATGAAGAATGCCAGAACAATTCTCGTCACCAGCTTTGTCATTCTGTTGCTGCTAAAGAAAGGTGACTGATTGACCCCTCGGTGAAGACGATAGTAGAAGAAAACCAGCAAGAAGAAACACATCCCAAATTGTAGTATTTCCAAGACTAAACTGACTACTTTTTCTGTATCGTTCCTAAAGTGTTGGTAGCAGTACTGGAATCCGTATTGATCACATCCTACGTCACGCTGAACAGGAGCATATGAAGCCAACGCTCCACTCAGGATCCATATTCCACACAAAAGGCCGTTCTCTCCTCTGGTTCTAAGTTTAGCCCATTTCTGAGGATGGAGCACCTGCATGTACCTCTGAAAGCTCATCAAAGTTACACACAATGTGTTACAATAGATGCTCCAATAGTCAATGTAGGAGATGATCTTGCACCCAACAGAGCCGAAGATCCAGTCATGCAGAAGAGCCCAGATCCACATCGGCAGGGGAAGGAGAGTCAGCAGATCCGACACCGCCAGGCACAGCATTATTCTAAGAGTGAAGCTGTTCTCCCTCACGCGTTGGACAAGAATCCTCAGCCCTGCTACATTCCAAGGGATCCCCAGCACAAAGCACAGCCCCAGGACAGCACTAGTGGCTGCATTTACTGGAAAGACATAAGGGGGCTGGGAACTGCTGGAGCAGTTGATCTGCTGCATGGTCTAGGGTTAGTAACTGATATGGCTGCTGGTGGCACAGCTAAAAAGAACACTGCAGGATGTGCATTCATAGCGCTCAGGGTAATGCTATAATAACATGAGTACAGGTTTGCATATGCAAAAAAACACTAAACACTAACCATTCGACTCATAGAACACACAGCAGCAGTCGTTCTCTGAAAAATTTTATTTGTTGCAAAAAACTTTTAGGACACTGAGAATTTCAGAGAATTCCAGAGAAAGGCATTTCATTCATTTTATGCATTTAGTTCCATCAGGTCGGTTTTTGACTGCTGCCAACCAAATGGACAATGTTTCTCCAGAATATCCTGTGTTCTGTTTGAGTCTTTAGGCTTCTGAATGGATGATTCATGATTCCTCTGATTGTCTCCATCCATCTTGTAGCTGGTCGTCCTCTTCCTCTTTTACCTTCAACTGTTCAAAGTATAATTGTCTGTTCCTATGAATTGGTTGTTCTCATTTTATGTCCAAAATAAGAGCTGCAGTTTAGTTATCTCGGCTTTAAAGAGAGGTAAGGCTTGATTTGGTCAAGAATCTGTTTTTTTTTGTTTGTTTGTTTGTTTGTTTGTTTGTTTGTTTTTTTCAAGGTGCTCCCCTGCACTGAAGGCATTGAAGGCTTGGAAAATACAGATCTTTCTTTGTAGAGAGAAACATTGGCAGTGAGAGAAAAAAAATGAATACATTTAAATATTCTAAACATTCAATTCTCCATTTATGGAAAATGTAATTGTAAAAAATCAAGGGAGATGGTGGATTTAAATGACTGTTATCTTAAATCTCTCTAGATTTAAATGAAGTTACCTGTTAGTAACTAGCAATCCTGATTCTGAAAATGCAGCTGCTTAATAATAGCCTAGATAAAAGCCTAATTACTGCAACTTAGAGTACTTAAATCTTGAATAGGTTATGCCCTTATCATTTTAAACCCCTCCCTCTTCCAGTATATTGACATTTCATAGCTTCTATAAATTCGTTTTTAAACAGGATAATACATTTTACCACCCAGAACCCATAAAATGCCAGGTGGAGCAACCACACAAATCAACAAATTAACTCTTAACTCATGAACTCTTTCTTACAAGCGTGTCAGAATAAAAGTTCTTTGTTGTCAGTAGTGCCACATGACGTTTAAGGAAATCCGAATTTATTTGCAAAAGTTGTTTTCAGGTCTCTCCAAGGGCATTCAGAAACCTATCCTTAAGCCACTCTTGCTTTGTCTTGGTTGTGGGTGTTGGGCCATTGTCATGTTGGAAAGTGAATGCAACAATAAATGTAAAAAAGGGTAACACTTTATCTGGAGTGGTCCTTTGTAGATGATTAATAAAGTCTTAACAGATTATCAGTAACACATCAACAGCATATCAGTGAAGTAGCAGTAGTGAAGCATCTGAATAGACTGAAGTAAATTTCTTGTAGATGTACTGTTTATACATTACTTACATTAAGTAAATGTATTGGTGATATGTTACATGAAGCAGACTTTATATGGTACTTCCATTTAACAAAACCTAACCTTACCCAACCTTACCCAAAATCCAACCCTAACCCCAGCCCTAATCCTAACCCTAACCTTAACCAAAACCTAATCCAGTTAAATTCCAGTCAGCAGCATGTCTATAACAGCTTGTTGAGGATGTTGAGATGGTCTGTAGTCTACCTCTTACATGTTCAGTGACCTCTCAGGTCAACATCTAGAGATATAAATTTGCACTCCAAATTAAGTGAAAAACAGCTGAATTCAGGAGACTTTTATTCACACAGTTAATGAAAAGTCTTGATAATCTACTGAATGTTTTCACTGCTGCTACATCATTGAGATGCTGTTGATGTTACTGAGAGTCTGTTGAGTGTTTATTTCATCTAAAACAAACCACTCAAATAAAGTGTCACCCAATAAAGAAATATTGAGTGCCTGTCTGTAAACACAACTTTTTTCTTATATAGTGTTTAACAGAACACTCAACCTTATTTTTCATGTGATCACTGCATTTTGAGATTATGCCTGAAATATCTGATTGGGAATGGAAGTGTTGTTCATTACTGTTTTAGCTACGTCAAGGAATGCATGCTTATTCTTTCAGTTGTTGTTTTATGTCCGCTTAAATGTCTCTGAGTGTTTATGGGTCAACATGCACTTTGCATATATGACTATGGCTGAGTGAAACTGAAAGTACTGCAAGAACCGGAATGTTACAGGCATAAACCTCTCAGGAACACAAAGTGCTTCAAAGGACATTTGAACATGGCTTCATAATCACAATAAGCCCAGTTGTTTTTGCTGAAATCTGCGCCTATAAAAACCACACAAATGAAGAATTGCCGGTTGAATATCAGGTTGCTGATAACAGGCTGTCTTTAACAGGTTTACACATTTTATTCTCTGTAACTTGATATATTCTGCCTTCACTACAGCAGGCTTAGCAGGTTAGCAGAAACCTAGCAGGCTAACCCTCCAATAATAAAGTTTAAGTTAAAGCCTTCACAGAAGAAGTTACTTAAAAACTGTGACATAGGAACGAACACGTTGCTTACATGCCTGTTACTGGCTTAAAATGTCTTCATTTAGACTGGAGCTGACATCAAAATCCAACATAATGCTGAGCTAATCCTGCTAGTTTGCTAACATCTGAGAATTTTCCTAGCATTCATTAAAAAAAAAGCAAATGAAAAGATTTATACACTAAACATTGCTGAGTAATGGCATTGCTTTACGGTATCATGCCTGTATCTAACCAAGCGAACAACGTTAAAAAGATGAAATAACTTTATTAGTATAAGTAATTAGCGTGGGCCATAAAGAGAAGCCTCTGTCATGCCGGTTTAGGTTTCTGTTGATAGATCAATAACAAACTTCAGCACAAAAGCATTCAAACATCCCCAAAACATCCCACAGTTCTCTCACATTAGGATGTCATTAGCATTTAACATATTTAACATAAATAGTTTGTTGGCACACTGCAGGAAGTTCTGTTCAAAAGCCACTCAAAGCCCAACCCTAACACAGGGTGTAGGACTAAGGTGGATAGGTAGACTAATATAGAGAACATAAGGCAGTACTTTTATTATGAAAAAAGTGCTTATTGACCCTATATTACTTATGTAGCATATATTTAGATGTATAAATTCTGTGAGCTCTGTGTGAACAACTAGAAAAATAGATTTACATACATACATAAATACATCATCTAAACCACTTATCCTTCTGGGTCACGGTGGGGTGCTGGAGCCTATCCCAGCTGTCGCAGGGCGGAAGGCAGGATACACCCTGGACAGGTCGCCAGTCCATCGCAGGGCAGACAGACAGACATACACAATCGCACACACACTCACACCTAGGGGCAATTTAGCATGTCCAATCAGCCTGACTGCATGGTTTTGGACTGTGGGAGGAAACCGGAGTACCCGGAGGAAACCCACGCAGACACGGGGAGAACAGGCAAACTCCACACAGAAATGACCCAGGTCGCCCGGCCGGGAATCAAACCCAGGCCATTCTTGCTGTGAGGCGACAGCACTATCCACTGCGCCACCGTACCACCAGTTACAGAACAGTAATGGTAATATGACATTGTTGTGTTGCTTGGTATAATTTGTCATGACAAATCAGATATGCGCAAAAAGTTATAATGAGTTTGATTTCACTAATACATGTTCCTCCTTAAAACAAAATGAAATGTTAGAAAAAATAGTTTGTACTTAACTACTGGGTAAAATATACTTATGTACAATAAAAAAATTATAGTCACACATTTGCTGCAATGACTACTATTGAGGAAAAATTCAGATTTGATACATTTGTCATTGAAGCCACAATCTCATAAGTCCCTTGTATTCAATCTCAGTTGGTTAACTAAGCATTGATACATTTTTTTGATGTTTGGGTTCTGCTAAGAAAGTTAAGAGATCAAATCATGCAGAAAGAACAATCTTTTAAAATGTTTCAAGGTCTGATACTTCTGATTAGTTACACAGGAGGAGACAAAATATGTCTTTGTCAAATATAACATTACCAACCTACCTCAGTAAAAACGCAGTTAGTTCAAACAGAACAGGGGTTTTAAGTGTTCTCCATCACAGGACTGCTAGAGTGAAGCTCTCTAAAAGAAAATGTGTACAGGAAAGGGTTCACACAACTGTTCAGAAATGTCGGAACTCTGGCCATTATGCTACAAAGGCCTGCGGTTTTGGACAGGTGGTTATTCCTGAGTAAAACTGAAATGATGAGTAAGATGTTGATAACAGGAACCAGGACATAGAATACAAAGAATGCCACGACGATTCTGGTCACCAGTTTTGTCATTCTGTTGCTGCTAAAGAACGGTAACTCATTTACTTTTCTGTAAAGACGATAGTAGAAGAAAACCAACAAGAAGAAACAGATCACAAACTGAAGTGTTTCCACAAGTGAAGTGGTTATTTTGTCTGTATCATTCCTAAAGTGTTGGTAGCAGTACTGGAATCCATATTGCTCGCATCCGACATCACGCTGAACTGGAGCATATGAAGCCAACGCTCCACTCAGGATCCATATTCCACACAAAAGGCCATTCTCTCCTCTGGTTCCAAGTTTAGCCCATTTCTGAGGATGGAGCACCTGCATGTATCTCTGAACGCTCAGAAAAGTCACACACAGTGCACTACAGTAGGCGCACCAATAGTCAATGTAGGAGATGATCTTGCACACAACAGTGCCAAAGATCCAGTCATGCAGAAGAGCCCAGATCCACACCGGGATGGTAAGAAGATTCAGCAGATCTGACACCACCAGGCTCAGCATCAGTCTAATGGTGAAGCTGTTCTCCTTCAAGTGTTGGGCAAGAATCCTCAGCGCTGCTACATTCCCAGGGACCCCCAGCACCAAACACAGCCCCATAACAGCACTGCTGGCTATACATACTGGAAAGGCATCAGTGAGTTGTGAACTACTGGAGCAGTTGAGCTGCTGCATGGTTCAGGGTCAGAAGTTGTTGTGGCTGCTTCTGGCGCAGTTGATGAGAACAATGCAGGAAATACAGTAATAGAGTTCATAGTGATGCTGAATTTCTTGAGTACAGGTTTGCATATGCAAAATAATGCTATATTGAACAACTTCCCATGGAAGGTTCAGCTATTCGTCTAGTAATGCAATTTAGATGTGTAGAGGGTCAATAGGGGTTAACTGCCTTGCCCAATGACACAGCCTCAAATCTAGGAGGCTGGTACTAGCAGCCCTCCAGTCCATCTGGACACCAGCAGGCAGTGTGCTGTTGGAGCAGCTGAGATACTTCATAGTCACAGTTAGATGCTGGTGAGGTCACTGGTAGTGCAGATATACCTGCAGAAGTGAGAGTCTGAAATGAAGATGTCAGCACAGACATTGTTCTGGTATTTATGTGGAACTACTCACACTGGTTTCCTTGTTTGTTCTCTCTGTGTACATTTGCATATGTTTGTTTAATACAAGGCTAAACAAGGAAAGATAATTACTTACAGTGGCCACCATAAGCTACTGTAGAGGTGTAGATGACCGAGTCAAAGGGAAAAGAAATGAGATTACATGAAGAAGTGGAAAAATCAGACAGCAACTCAGACACATAAACAGTAGAGGGGACAGAGCTGGGCTAATGTGTTTTATTACAGGCTGCACTGACAGAAACTCAGAAATCATATTGTCAGATTAAATTTTATATTATTCTCATTGTAACCGAAAAATGTAAATGGTGGTTTTTACTCCACAAAACAGGACTGAGCACTACTGTGGTATCAACTTGGCATCCGCATTTACAACAGAATTTCTCTGAAGTTACAGTTGTATGCAAAAGTTTGGGCACCCCTGACCAAATGACACATTTGGTTGATTTTTGAATACCATACATTATAATTCATCAACATAAAAAACGTTTATGTGCAAAAGTAATAATATTGTGTGACATTTGAACAATCTACTGAGTCAGTACTTAGTTGCATCCCCCTTTGGCAGATATCACAGCTTGCAAAAGGTTTTTGTAGCCAGCTGGGAATCTTCTAGGTGTCTTTTTCTTTTAGGAATTTTCACCCACTCTTCTTTGCAGAAACCTTCTAATTCTAATTGATATTTTTGGGCCGTCTTGCATGCACAACATTTTTAAGATCCACCAACAGATGTTCATGTCAGGGGACGGTGAGGGCCATTCCAAAAACTTCAGGTAATGTTTCTGAAAGTAGTTCATGGTGAATTTTGAGGGTTTGGATCATTGCCCTGTTATAAGAGCCAGCCTCTTTTCAGTTTCATTTTGACTGAATGTTTCACATTTGCTTCCAAAGTTTGCTGACAAGTAGTGAAATCCATTCTTCCCTCTACCCTTGTAAAGAGTATTATAATAAGTGATACTCACTTATTATGAATTGTCCAACTCTTCACAATAATTCATAAGTGTGTATCTTTTCATTAAAGCACTTTCTTCCTTTAAACAAAGGGAAATTCGACGTCATACATATTCATATCTAGAAAAATGTACTTACTGTAAATACAATAATAAACTACCATTATATTGGATGCAATGACTACTAATAAGAATCATTCTGATTTAATGCATGTGTTGCAGGTCTCTGAAGTCACAATTTCACAATTCACAAACCTCCTTCATACTCTCTCAGTTGGTCAATAAACTACATACTTCAGATCATTTGAAATACTCCAAGAAAGTCTGAGGCTTCTGATTAGAAATGTAAGAAGCAGATAAAATATGTATTTTGATAAACATGACAAAAAAAATTACTTTCTGATTTTGCTAAAATCCCACATTTGGCATGTTATACAGACAATGGTAACTTAATGTAGAGTCTACCTGAGTAAGAAAGGTTTCTCAAAAATGTATTTTGTATAAACAGAATGAGCAGACCAGATATAATATATCGCTGTTGTCAGTAACAAAACCTTGTATCTCAAAAATGAGAACTTTATAGGAGAAGGAAAAAACATACTTTACTTTTAATGTAAGTAAATGGAACCAGAAGTTTTTCCAAGTAATTTTGGGTTGTTTCTTTCGGTTCATTCATCATGAAAATTGCAAAAATTTAAAGAACAACAGACATTTTCAAATCATGTCAAAAACTGAAAAACGTCTTCACATGCTATTTTGCAATGCCCTATCTACATGCCCTCCGTCAGTCCCTCTGCAGCCCTCTAAGAGAGAATGTGTACAGAAAAGGATTCACACAGCTGTTCAGAAATGTCAGAGCTCTGGCTACATTGCCACAAAGGTCTGCATGTTTGTAAAAATTCTGATTATTAAGAAAAATTGCAATGATAATTAAGATGTTGGCAACGGGAACCAGGAAATTGAAGATGAAGAATGCCACAACGATTCTCGTCACCAGCTTTGTCATTCTGTTGCTGCTAGAGAAAGGTGACTCATTAACCCCTCGGTAGAGACGATAGTAGAAGTAAAACAGCAAGAAGAAGCAGATCACAAATAGCAGTATTTCAAATAGTAATGTGGCTACTTGCTCTGTCTTGTTCCTAAACTGTTGGTAACAGTACAGAAATCCATATTGCTCACATCCTACATCACGCTGAACTGGAGCATATAAAGTGAACACTCCACTCAGGATCCATATTCCACACAAAAGGCCGTTCTCTCGTCTGGTTCCAAGTTTAGCCCATTTATGATGATGCAGCACATGCATGTATCTCTGAACACTCATCAAAGTCACGCAAAATGCGCTACAGTAGATGCACCAGTATTCAACATAGGAGATGATCTTGCACGCTGTAGAAGTGAAGACCCAGCCATGCAGAACAGCCCACATCCACACCGGCAGCTGAAGTAAAATCAACAGGTCCGACACCGCCAGGCTCAGCATCATCCTGATGGTGAAGTTGTTCTCCTTCAAGCGTTTGATGAGAATCACCAGCACTGATAGATTCCCAGGGACCCCCAGCACAAAGCCCAGCCCCAATATAGCACAAACGGCTACACAAATTGGAAAATCATCAGTGAGTTGGCAACTACTGGAGCAGTTGAGCTGCTGCATGGTTCAGGGTCAGAAGTTGTTGTGGCTGCTTCTGCGACAGTTGATGAGAACACTGCAGGATATACAGTAATAGAGTTCATAGTGATGCTGTAATTACTGAGAACAGCTTTGCATATGCAAAAATTAGCTTATATTGAATAACTCTCCATGGACTGATGTTTAGCTATTAGTCTAGTAATGCAATTTACATGTGTAAGTGTATAGGGGCAATAGGGATTAACTGCCTTGCCCAATGGCACAGCCCCAGGCTAATCAAATCTAGGAAGCTGGTACTAGCAGCCCTCCAGTCCTGGACACCAGTGGGTAGTGTGCAGTTGAGATACTTCATAGTCACAGTTAGATGCTGGTGAGGTCACTGGTAGTGCAGATATACCTGCAGAAGTGAGAATCTGAAATGAAGACGTCAGCACAGACATTGTTCTGGTGTTTATGTGGAACAATTCACACAGGTTTCCTTGTTTGTTCTCTCTGTGTACATTTGCATATTCTTTGTTTAATACAAGGCTAAACAAGGAAAGATAATTACTTACAATGGCCACAATAAGCTACTGTAGAGGTGTAGATGACCGAGTCAAAGGGAAAAGAAATGAGATTACATGAAGAAGTGGAAAAATCAGACAGCAACTCAGACACATAAACAGTAGAGGAGACAGAGCTGGGCTAATGTGTTTTATTACAGGCTGCACTGACAGAAACTCAGAAATCATATCGTCAGATTAAATTTTATATTATTCTCATTGTAACCAAAAAATGTAAATGGTGGTTTTTACTCCACAAAACAGGATGGAGCACTACTGTGGTATCAACTTGGCATCCGCATTTACAACAGAATTTCTCTGAAGTTACAGTTGTATGCAAAAGTTTGGGCACCCCTGACCAAATGACACATTTGGTTGATTTTTGAATACCATACATTATGTTCAGCTATTAGTCTGGTAATGCAATTTAGATGTGTAGAGGGTCAATAGGGGTTAACTGCCTTGCCCAGTGACACAGCCTCAAATCTAGGAGGCTGGTACTAGCAGCCCTCCAGTCCATCTGGACACCAGCAGGCAGTGTGCTGTTGGAGCAGCTGAGATACTTCATAGTCACAGTTAGATGCTGGTGAAGTCACTGGTAGTGCAGATATACCTGCAGAAGTGAGAGTCTGAAATGAAGATGTCAGCACAGACATTGTTCTGGTATTTATGTGGAACTACTCACACTGGTTTCCTTGTTTGTTCTCTCTGTGTACATTTGCATATGTTTGTTTAATACAAGGCTAAACAAGGAAAGATAATTACTTACATTGGCCACCATAAGCTACTGTAGAGGTGTAGATGACCGAGACAAAGGGAAAAGAAATGAGATTATGTGAAGAAGATTAAGAATCAGACGGCAACTCAGACACATAAACAGTAGAGGGGACAGAGCTGGGCTAATGTGTTTTATTAAAGGCTGCACTGACAGAAACTCAGAAATCATATTGTCAGATTGAATGTAATGTAACGTTTCCTGTGCTCCTAGCTGCCACATAACCCCAAAGCTTAATAGATCCACCCCCATGCTTAACAGTTGGTGCTCTTTTTATCCAATGATGTGGCCAAAGAGATCTCTCTGCAGCTCTTATTTCCAAACACCTGTTGTTATGCTATTGTTATTTAGATGTTGTTTTGCATGTTTCAGTTGTGGAATATTGTGATGAGGTTGCAGGTAAGGTTTCCTTCTAATGACTTCTCCATGCAGATTATGTTTGTGCAAGCAGTGCTGCACAGTAAAACGGTAACACTTTACATTAAGGGTCACTAATCAATCATTAAATATATAATAATCAACTATTAGTTTCCCATTATTTAGTTATTAGTTAACTCTTCATTAAGCATTAGCTATTACTTAGTAATTGATTAAGCACTTATCAATTAGTAATTAAGTACACTGTTAGTTGACAAGTTAGTTTGTCGTTAGTTTGTGGCTTACTTACTCGTTATCTGTGTGCTAATTGCTGCTTATTACATCGTTAATTAACTAATAAGTATTTTTCTTCATATAAAGAAGTAACGTGATAACTTACTAGCACCTATGTGTTAATCCCGCTAATTATCTGTTAATTAACTTTCCATCACCTCCATATATTCAGTTGCTTCACTTTTCTCACTTTGGTTCTTGTTCATTAAAGATGCTTATGGTCACATCTGACCATAAGATGAGCGCACACAAATTCACTGACGGTTTTGTTATTCATCACGTTCATCTTGGCATATCTGTACTCATATCTGGTAGGAGTGCATGTGAATTTGGGCATAAATGCTGGATATGTGGCTAATTAACCAAAACTATTATCAACATAATCTGTAATTGCAAAAATAAAAACAATAGAAAATATCAATAATACTAATTTGTGTGCATGACAGTCCAGTACAAAAGTGGATGTACTTACTTTACATGCACATTGATATAAACAAGTGCTGCAACTATTTCATGTTCCATTTAAAGACATATTACACTGTGCTTTTGTTGTCATGCACTGCAATAATACAGCGTTTATTTCAGGGAATTAATTACACTAAACAATCACTCTACTGTGTTAACAACACTGAGTATTTTGTTTTATTTCACATTTTATTTTTTCCAGTTGTTTTCATTTTAATACTACTAAGTTTGGTCAGCAGGGGAGGAGTGCACTCACTGCTGGACATCAAACTCCACCCACGAGCACGGCCATTAGCTTTCATGCCAAACACTGCCGTTTTATTGGCTGGCTACTGAAACATCTGCATGAATTAGTGTGTGCTTCATGTAAATGATATGTAAATGAGGTGCTGGTCGGCTGGTTTCATGCACTGAAGCTGATTTATCATTTATGCTCAAATCTCCACTTGTTTCCACATCGTCCATTCAGACGCAGAGCAGTTCATACCTTATAAAAGGCAAAAACAGGTGTTTTTTTTTTATGTAACTTTGATGATTAATGGCCATTAGATCTTTACATTTTGACCATTAATTACTTCTTAAATTCCACTTAATCAACCATTCATTGCTTCTTAAATTCCTCTTACTTAATCATTAATTACTGCTTTTGTGTCCCTCCAAGTAAAGTGACAACACAAAAGCAGTAATTAATGATTAAGTAAGAGGAATTTAAGAAGCAATGAATGGTTGATTAAGTGGAATTTAAGAAGTAATTAATGGTCAAAATGTAAAGATCTAATGGCCATTAATCATCAAAGTTACATAAAAAAAAAACACCTGTTTTTGCCTTTTATAAGGTATGAACTGCTCTGCGTCTGAATGGACGATGTGGAAACAAGTGGAGATTTGAGCATAAATGATAAATCAGCTTCAGTGCATGAAAGCAGCCGACCAGCACCTCATTTACATATCATTTACATGAAGCACACACTAATTCATGCAGATGTTTCAGTAGCCAGCCAATAAAATGGCAGTGTTTGGCATGAAAGCTAATGGCTGTGCTCATGGGTGGAGTTTGATGTCCAGCAGTGAGTGCACTCCTCCCCTGCTGACCAAACTTAATAGTATTAAAATGAAAACAACTGGAAAAAATAAAATGTGAAATAAAACAAAATACTCAGTGTTGTTAACATAGTAGAGTGATTGTTTAGTGTAATTAATTCCCTAAAATAAACGCTGTATTATTGCAGTGTATGACAACAAAAGCACAGTGTAATGTGTCTTTAAATGGAACATGAAATAGTTGCAGCACTTGTTTATATCAATGTGCATGTAAAGTAAGTACATCCACTTTTGTACTGGACTGTCATGCACACAAATTAGTATTATTGATATTTTCTATTGTTTTTATTTTTGCAATTACAGATTATGTTGATAATAGTTTTGGTTAATTAGCCACATATCCAGCATTTATGCCCAAATTTACATGCACTCCTACCAGATATGAGTACAGATATGCTGAACGTGTAAGATGAACGTGATGAATAACAAAACCGTCAGTGAATTTGTGTGCATCATCAGATGTGACCATAAGCATCTTTAATGAACCAAAGTGAGAAAAGTGAAGCAACTGAATATATGGAGGTGATGGAAAGTTAATTAACAGATAATTAGCGGGATTAACACATAGATGCTAGTAAGTTATCACGCTACTTCTTTATATGAAGAAAAATACATATTAGTAATACATATTAGTTAATTAACAATGTAAAAAGCAGCAGTTAGCACACAGATAAGGAGTAACTAAGCCACAAACTAACGACAAACTAACTTATCAACTAACAGTGTACTTAATTACTAATTGATAAGTGCTTAATCAATTACTAAGTAATAGCTAATGCTTAATGAAGAGTTAACTAATAACTAAATAATGGGAAACTAATAGTTGATTATTATATATTTAATGATTGATTAGCGACCCTTAATGTAAAGTGTTACCCTTTGCCTTTCTGAACAGCATACAAACAGTTGTATTTAAGTGCTATCTTGGTCTCCAGATTCTGCTTTGACTTCCACAGTTCCCCTTAACTGCCATTTCCAAATGACATATTGGACAGTGGGCTTGCAAGATGGACCTTCTTTGTTATCTTCTTATAGCCTTCTCTTGCTTTGTAAGCATCAATTAACTTTATTTTCAGATCCCCAGCCAGCTGTATAGAAGAGCCCATGATTGTCAAGTGTTAGTGAAAAGTATGAAGAGTCAGATAATTTATTACACTCTGTAATTGTCATCAGCTGACAATTCTCAATGAGGATTCTTGAACTGCCAAACCAGTTAATCAGGTTCTAAGACTTTACTACTGTAAACTATTGTATATGCCAGAATTAGGTTTGTTACACAGTAAGTGTGTATTAACAGAAAAGTGTGTATTAGGAGGTAAAACATTTTTAAATACTTTGCTGCAGAGGTTGCATTTTCTTTTCACTTCAAAAATTAACAAAATATGTATATATTTGGCCAGGGGTGCTCAAACTTTTGAATACAAATATTTATAGAATCATTTTTTGTTGGTCCATAGGAACGAGAAGTACTACATGAGAACAGACCAATC